AGCTTTATAAAAGTGGATTATAAATTATCTGACGTATCTCTGGAAAGAGTAAATAAAATTCGCGATTTAGGACTAACTTTAGACTATAAACTTGACTTTCACACACATGTGATTAATATTAGTAAATCTGCAAATAAGCTTTTAGGTTTTATTATAAGAACATCATCCGATTTCAGTGATATGTCCGTGGCTAGTGTATTATATAATGCCTATGTTCGCAGTAAGCTTGAGTATGGAGCAGTTATTTGGGATCCGCACGAAGATAAATATGAACTCATGATTGAGAGACTACAAAGAAAGTATGCACGCTGGCTATATAAAAAAATCTACGGCTATTACCCGTATTTGTACCCGTCTCTATTTGTATCAGGCATGCTTAATCTGGAGACCCTAGCACATCGAAGAAAAGTTCTTCTCGCTGCGCATTACCTCTCTGTGCTCTATAACAAACTGGATTGCCCAGATATATTAGAAAAGGTGAGCATTTCGGTTCCCATGCGTGTTTCGAGCGATGCTGCAGGCTTAGTGAAACCACGACGAATGCCGCGTCTTCTCCCTCGACCTCTCACTCGTACTGTTTATGCTTCGCAGGCACCCACAGTACGCGCAATGCGTCTGATCGGTGACATGCTCGCTCATCACGAGGAATCTGATTTATTTGTGGATGGTGTAAGACAACTAGTAGCTATGACTAGACAATTTCTAAATTTTATAGAATTCAGCAGCAGGATATAGTTGACATTGTGTATTCATACTGACATTATTTATTTGAATTGGCATGTATTGTAGTGTTCCAAATTGTAATTTATTTCTCTATATTTTATTTTATCATTTTAATTTTGACTTTTAAGCTAAGCTAATGGATTTATCAAATTTTAATTTGACATTTCTTATTATTCTTGACATTTTGTATAACTTGCATGTGTGTAGGACATAAAATCTGTGAACTTGCAAGTGTATGTATAATAATAAATAAATTATGATCAGCTGTTTCAGTTCATTGACTTCTAAATCAAAGACTATTATTTTGCCAGACTGGTTATATCTACTGGTATTTAGTGCCTACGTCACAGTACAGCGAAATAATTTATCTAGTTATGTGTACATACGCAAATATTCGAACATGCAAAATATTACACGAAAACATTATTTTAAAACTATTTCCAAAATTCGTTTTTATTCAGATTAGAGCTCCCTTTCCAATATACCTTGCCATATTACTATGCCCGTGCTACGCACATATCAGGCACGGAAACAAACAATAAACAGTACGCTATAGTCACTGCACTGGATTAAATACTTTCGCCTAAAATGCTCGTACAATATCTCTTTACGAACTGTAGACGGCCCATCCAAAATAATAATCTTTATAATTAATGCTACGCCACGTCACTTAATAATGTACTCATAAAATCAATTTCATCTAATCTAAACAAATAGAGAAGCAGAGGAAGAAGAAATATCGCGACCTCTAGATAAGTAGAATATTCGTTATTGCACGAACAATTTTTTTTCATAATTAGGTAGTTTCATTTTTATGAAAATAATTACAATATTATGAAAGTAGGCGACGTATATCACTGAGTGTCTTCCAGGTAACTTTGTCTATCTGTAGCTGCTTCATCTTTGAACCAGAATTTTTACACATCGTGTCTTTAAATCATGATAACCTGGTACTCGTACCTACAATCTCCTGTTACGAAAGTAAACCTAATATGACGTCAGCGCAGATACAGTCGGGGAATAAATTGAAACATTGATCAATATTCGTGTACATATTTCAATTGTGTTTATGGTCAATTTATTTCTTTTCTAATATTTTTACAATAAAAAGATCAGACTTAAAATGGAATATGAACCTTAATCGGGAATATGATCATTCCCGATTATGGTTTCAACCACTTACTATTACTACATGTAAATTGTTTCAAGTAAAATGGATTGCTACCTTAAAGTTAATGATATGCACTACACTTAGGTATCTTAAAAGCGTCTGACAAGAAAAAATGTCGACAAAGAGCCGCTTTCTGAATTGAGAAAAGTAAAAAATCTCAACTGAATATTCTCAATAACTGAAGTTTTTTTATATTTCACTAGTCAAAAGTCCTAGTTTTATCAAACTGCTAACAACTAATTATAAAAAAAAACCGGCCACGTGAGAGTTGGACTCGCGCAGGAAGGGTTGTATCCGGTGCTAAGAAATAACTTCATTAGCTTAACTCTTAAAAATATTTTTTATTGTTTAGGTATTTAAATACGTAAGACAAATCAATACATAATCGGTAAAATCGAGCCTAAAACAAATTCACTTATTCCCCCGAGTGTACAATGACGTAAGATAGAGATAGAGAGGGAGGGAAAGAGAGAGAGAGAAAGAAATTGTGTTTGTGTGATGTCGCGCGCGAGTGACTACTTGACGCTAGATACGGTAGTAGTAAACATTTGGTACGGATTTTAATTTATTATCTATTTTATTACTGTGGACTATTCAACTGAATTTTAGAATCAAAGTATAGGATTCACTATTTTAATGCTGTAAGAAATGAAAATGAATGAGACGTTTTATTATGTACTGTTTACCTATTTCCTTAAATAGAAAAAGCCCTAAAACGACCGACACAGCTAACAAACAAATGGTCATTTATTTGACAAATAGTTCAAAATAAAAAAGGTGTATAAAATGAATTAAAATTTTAAACAGGTATGTCGATTGTATGCAGATTACTACGGCCCACGAAATACATTAATTTATTTATTTAACGATGTCTTATGATAGTCGATGCTACTTCCTCTCTACAGACTGAGCCAAGCATGCTCGTTTGCAGGTGCAGCGTGAAAGTATATCACATTTCTCACTTAAACTAGTCTTTACCAAACATTAACAACGTTTAAATTTGTAAATACTAAAAATACAACCATGTACTATCTTATCAACAACAATAAAAATTTACAAAATCTTTGTCTATTAACAATTCCTAATACGTAACGTTCATAATACGTAACGTATTATGTACTTACGTACGTATGTAAAAAAATTAGTTGCAACAATGTCCTGCGACGATTTTTTTAATTTGTACAATAAAATGTTGATCACCTCGGTACTAGGCAACTAGAAGTTTAGGCTCAAACTTTAACATTGCCGCCTGTCTAGGGTTGTCATCTATCCGTCTTTAGCGGGATAAGTTTGACTTTTTAGATTGTGTGCAGCTAAATGTTAATGTCACATGTCCGGCGGTATAGTTTTCATAGGTTTTGGTATACCTGTGCCGAAGCTATATCAAATAAACTATGAATACACACAAATTCGAAAAACGTCAAATACCCAAAAAGACGCAGTGTTGCACGGGCATTTGCGAAATTTGAATACAAATCGTTAGTTTGTTTGCATCGTATAGTCTCCGAAATTACTTTATAAAAAAACCTTTTTCAAAATAGGTTGTGCAGTTTGATGTTACGATCAAGCCTTATTTTATGAATTCACGTTTTGGCTGTGATAAAAGCGTTAAAATTATGATGTAGTTATCTTATCTTTAATTACCGCTTATTTGTATGTTACGTCTTACTACAAAATCAATTAAAAGTTAGTGATTTTTGCTTAACGCACCCTCTGAATAACTAGGCAGTAACCCTCGCGAAGCCGTGAACTAATATTACTGTCTACTACGGTAATATTGTTTTACGGCTTCGCGAGAGATTTGACTTAGTCCAGCTTTAAGGACAAAATTTCCGATCTAATAAGAGAAAATGGCAACCCTATCCCGCTACTTCTCAGATTTAATTGCGGAACTATAGGTATCTTTCTGTGCGCCTTTGACATGCCGCACACTATGCAGCGGCTTATAATAAAGGACTCAAATTGGCGGCTTTCCCTTTTTATCACTTTTTCTTTATTCAGTTGTTCATACGTCGTCGATGTGATCACGTTTCGAAAATGTCCGTGTTCTCTAATTCCGATCACTATGAAAAGTGCTTTTATCAGTGTTACATGGGATGCAGTGTTGTATTGATATAAATTGAGACTATTTTGAAAAGATGTAATTATACTGAAACGTCAGTGAACCAGAGGTTGGCCGCGATCTTTAGTTTTTTCTTGTGGAATAAAATTAAGTGCCTAATAAAGTGTAGGTGAGTGAACCTCACAAGTAATGCTTAAACAGTGAATAAGGAAGTGAAAAGGTAAAGTACAAATAGTAAGTCGCAAATATTTATTTTTAAATACGCCAAAATCGTTTGTGAATTATGTCGCATATCATTTCTTTTTTATTATCGTAATATCAATCAGATTTGTCGGACCATTAAAGTACGAACTAAAAGTTAGATTCGTATATCAGTGTTTAAATAAATTTTACCTATCTATCATAAATAGATACTACTTAAAATGGTGTTTGATCTGTAATTCAGAAACAGCTGAGTCGGAAACGATGCTATGAAATGATGTGCGCGTTGATAATAATATGTATTATAATTTTTTTTACTGAAATTAAACTACCGGCTGAACAGCGTCTGTTACCATACTATTTTGCCAATGATTTGATTCCTATTTAATTTCTTTTCATTTTATTTTCGATCGAAGTAGGTTAAGTATTTACTGTGTAAACTGGCAAACGCAGACATGTTTTTAAGTATATTTTCTCTCTCATTCTTAGTGTGTATGTGTGGGTGTGTACTAGGAGAATAGAAAAAAAAATAGAAAACATAGGAGATAGGTAGTGTGCCATTACTCCTGGTAAGGTCATTAACCTAAAATAGTGATGTGACATAGCACACTCGATGTATTTATTAATTATTAAAAATTAGCCTTTTTACTGAAAGTTAAAAGTTAATGCAAAGGTTTTGAAAATTTGGCAGAGTACTGTTTATATGATATACTTCAACACCCTTCAGCTATAACGGGTATTTTTGTAACACCCGGTATATAACGCTATTAAATCTTTCACTGTCACTATCAATTGTTCCTTTTGCAGATAGAAGAGAAAAGTTTGAATGAATTTTCTCTATTAATGTTTTCCGATCTATCGGCACGTCACAGCGGTGATTATACTTGCCGAGTTTCAAATCACGCCGCCACCGTCAATTACACTGCAACGCTCAGCGTGAAAGGTGAGTGTCCAACCGGAGAAACCAATAGTTTTATATAATCTCTTTTTTTTATTTTAATACGTCATAATTTACTAGGCCATTAATTCGGTTTCATCATCAGTGGCGCCCACGTGGATGAAGGAACCTCTCGATACGGCGGTACTCCTAGGAGCTCCTTTGAACGTGGAATGTGCAGCCAAAGGATACCCCCCACCCACTGTAACGTGGTATAGAAAAATCGGTATGTATGAAGAAAATAGGGTACTCCGTCTGAGTTTCCTTATTCTTATTCTAGTAAATATTTTAAGGTGAGGGCATGTCATTATCACCGGAGAGCTCGGAACAATGGCAATTATTAGAAAATATGATATGGGATGACAAGAGTAGAAGTGGAACACACACCGTCCGCGCACAGAATGGAACGTTATCGGCTCCAGCCACTGCTAGAAACCACCAAGGGATATACCGTTGCTCGTCTGATAATGGAGTGGGTCCACCACTAGTGAAGCACATCAACCTTACAGTGCACGGTCAGTATGCTATCTGCTCCATGATATACTATAATGGTATATACACTCGGAGGCACATTTAACCGTCCACCTTTCTTACATCGAGTAACCTTTGTTTTAATAAACTTCAGCTTTAACTAGTAGGCATAATTAATAGCCAATAGAAGCATCAAGAATACTAGCTCTATCGCCTGGCACTTGTCACAGTAATAGTCATTTTAAATAGGATATTATGTAGTTTTCTTTATAAACCATTTATATTATATTGATAGTAGAAATATGGATCCATTTTCTCCAATTTGTTTTGTATCTTCATCAGCCCTTTTCCCACATAGGGACTCAGATCTTTCTTATTGGTTGTTAAGGAAGATGGGCCACGATCACAGCCACGATGGCTAAATGCGGGTTGGAGGGTATTAACGATTGCAAATTCAGCCAGGGTCCTGTTTTTCTTTCTTTGCTAACATTCCTGCTATGATATACAGTAAAAATTTAACGTCTTACTACAGAACCAGCGCACTTTGAAGGGTCCGGAGGCAACGTTTCGAGCGTCCGGGGGCAGAGCGCCTCACTGGCATGCCACGCTCTCGGTGACGCCCCTCTCACCGTACACTGGACCCACATGGGGGTGAGATTGGATCTCAACTCTTATAGGTAACAAATATTTCCAAATAATAAACTATTTCGCTTTTCGAATGATCGAACTGAATGTCCTCAATCAATGAAGGTGGACGGTGTCAGAAGTGCGAACTGTGGACGGACTTCGATCGGTGCTGCAGCTGCGCGCCGCTGAACGAGCCGACGCCGGAGAATATCGCTGTCATGCTCACAATCAATTCGGAAGAAGCGAGGTCCTCATGTATCTCCACATAGAAGGTAAAACATGACACTGACAATTTTAAAAACAAAATGCATCAGTCCCTGTGAATTTTTTTTTTGTTGCATAGAACCTCCAGAAGCACCGAAAGCGATAAGACTGGGGGGTGTAGGGTCACGCTGGGTTCGCCTCGTTTGGCGCTCGACACCCAGAGCCGGCGTGTACTTCACTGCCACATTCACTGCGCTGCTCGCTCTGCCCGGAGCGAACTCCGAGCATACGACCGCCAACCTCACTTTGGATTCTTCGAATGATGACAGGTTTATGGAGCTACAGTCTTAGATTTTTTTTTTTATTATTTATGCTGTTAAAGTATATTTTTGTAATAGTAAGTAAGCTCTATTTATAACTGTTTCAAAAGTATTTTATGGCATTCAATATAATTAATACTACTCTCTATCGTAATGACAGTTTTTATCCTAAATAACAAGAAAAAATCACTGGTTTAAACAAATGGTTTAAAATTCTAAAAAAAAAATGAAAGAGCTTAAATCTGCACCGTTAAGTCGTTAATGCCTAAAGTTTTCTCGACCTTTCTTTTTTATTATACTTATAATAAGAAGAATACTGTTAACAAACAAAAATCATACCAAAATTAAAAGCAGGTAGTCTCCGAGACGGTATATATATTTATAATTCTTTATATTTTAGAATACTTTAGTAATAAAATGACACCTCACTTGACACTTAATACATATATTAAAAATATAAGTTTTATAGCACTAAAAGTAAAAAGAAAGATTTTTAAGATAAGATTAAATTTATTTCATTTTAAAAATTATTCTATAGTACAATTTGCTCATGAGAAATGTGAGTCAGACTTGTTTTTATGTGGACACCTAACTTAGTAAATGTTTTACTAGTATAATAGGTATCTATAATAAATTTAAACTATTTGAATTTGTTTTTATTCTACAATAATAAACAATAACAATAAATTAAATAATATATGCAACAAAATATTTAACAAATAATAAACAAATCTGTGGGAGAGAGAAGTCAGAGTGAGATCTTTTCAAAAGTACAAACCATATTAACCCTTCACTTACTGGTTTGGAGTCTTGAGTTATAAGGTGTACTTTAAGGGAGTACTTTTTGAAGACTGTAAATATTATATACAACTGGCGAACAGAGAGGACACTACAGATGACTACTAGTTCTGCGGTTGGGAATCGAAACGGCCTGATGGTGCTTATTTTTAGGACGGCTCTCTGTGCTATTTATAACTTTGGTATGGTTGTCTCAGGACTGACGCCCCATACTGTTATATAGTATGTTATCACAGACTGACACACAATAAGATATATTGCCCTGAATGCGTGCCGCTTACAAGATGTCTAAGATTTTTAAATACGAAAATTAATTTTCTTGTTCCAGAAGTAATGGCTTTGGTATATGCTTTAAAACCAAGGTACTTATCTATGTCTCCTCGGTATTTATTAGAGCTATTAAGTTTGGGGCAGAGATAGGAATGGTCAAGTGATTCTGAAATTGGACACTGTTGAATTGTTATTATATGTGGGTTAGGTACAGGTTGAGAAATTGAACTATGGGAAAAAGTAATAATATTTGTCTTGTCAAGATTCAATGTTGGTAAATTTTGGCTAAGCCAATGGACAACGGATAGAAGGCCTATTTGTGCTTGTTCAAATGCAGTTTTCCAAGAGCTCACGCTAAAAAGTAAAAACGTATCGTCCACGTAGGAGATTATTTATTGTTATCGGGAAGAGGGAGAAGGTAAAGGTCATTGATATATGATTATTAAAATATGGTTACAGGGTAGTTTTACAATTTGAGACCAGCATATTTTATCAAGACGATATGCAAATATTAAAGTTAAAATACAATAAATTGTCTAATTTTATGTGAAAAAAAAAATTACGAATTATCAAATCATAGTCTATAAGAAATAGCGAAGGCCCAATTATACTCCTCTGAGGAACGCCATACTCAACCAGTAATTCTTCACTTAATGCGTTATCGATTATCACTTGCTGTGTTTTATTAGAGAAATAATCTTCGATAAGTTTAAAAGATATATCTCGAATACCCTTATAATTGTTACGACTTAGGGTTCGGGATAACGCCAATTACAATTCACAAATCGACTTTATTTAACACAATAAAATTACAAAAATAATCCAACTACAAAATTCACACTTCAACTTCGCTAGTAACACTTCACGGCACTATTAGATCGTTCACACGGTTATTGCTTCAAATTTCCCTTCAGATCGCTTGTTCACTGAGGAATGCCGAAACGGGTCCACCGCATATTTATAAGGGTCGATACCACGTCTAGAATGTTCTTTATAGGTTGGTCTCGGCAAAGAGTTCTTGTGTAGAGTAGTAATATAGTATAGTAAAGAGTGACCGTCTCTTTTTCGCCGAATGGATGTATTCCCATAAAACACACGCAGTTTCGCCAATAAATCGCACGCACATTGTGCGATTCATTGGCGCATAACGCCATCTAGTAATGTGCAGACGAACCGCGCCGACTCATTACGTAACACTATTTAATTTTGCGAGAAATATCGATATTGGAACAGTATAAAAAGCTTTAGCAAGATCTAATAACACAGCTAAGCAATTATTTTTTGAGTCAAGCTTACTTACGATAACTTCTGAGTCAAGCTTCCTTACGATGCGTTCTGAATTTCTGACCTTTCATATTGTCGATTTATCTTCCTTAGTAATAATTCATTACAAAAGTTACAATATCTCTTATAAGTTATTTTTAGTACTTCATTGTTTAGATCTTTGGGACTTTTTTATGTTGTTTGTCTCGATGTCTTATGCAGATAACGTAATACACAGGACGTAAGAGTCCAGGTGTTATCCAAGGTTTAATGAAAAAATGTGATTGTTGCCTCAATAATTTTCGTTAACGATGATATTGGATATTCGATCGATACATTCAAGTCTACCAAGTTATTAATTGGTGTAAAGTCGATGTTGTTAAGGTCCTATATTACCGCCTTGCCATTTAGTTTTGAATGCTTAAGTATTACGCAAGTTTTTTTAAGATACGTTCGAATTATAACAATATAGAATTGTGGTCTGTTAGTGACAAATTTAATAATAAAGCTTTTATAATAAAAAATATGATCTTAACAATTTCTATTTCTAGTTGGATGTAAGTGAGTAAAAATCAGATAAAGTTACTCGTAGATAAACCTACTGAATTACGATCAGTGTTTCCTGGCTTTTTTAAAGATGACAGTTTATCTAAAATTTCGCTCATTGATTGTAAAAAAAGACAATATTATGATAAGAAGGAGATCGATGTATAGTTATAGTTACTATTAATGTATCATTAATCTTTACAATTATACAGTTTGCATCAACTATTTCCGGTTCCGTTACTATGAAATTATTAATGTTTTGTTTTATGTACAAAGTTACACCGTCATTTTGATGAATATTAGTTTTATTCATGGTTTTTGGATATAACATAATATGAGGCAGTATAAACTAACAGATCGGATGCCGACGGGCTGCGGAGCTGGAGCGCCCGTCTGGATGGGCTCCGGCCGGCGGTAGCGTACTCCATTCGTTTGACCGCCACCAACCACGTAGGACAATCACCACACTCCGACCCTTTACTTTTCACCACTCTCGAAGAACGTAAGACATTGGATTTAAGTATTATTACTTGCTTTTCTGTTCCGATAGCACGACTTAACGTTATTCTTTGTCAATCGACCGCAGCTCCCACGGCTTCTCCGCAAAACGTTCGCGTGAGACCGGGCGGGACGGGCGAGCTTCACGTGTCGTGGTCTGTAAGTAAAGCTCACATAATATAAATTGTATTTCGGACCCGTCTGATCGCACTTTTCCCTGCGTAGGCTCCACCCCAGGATGGATGGAACGGCGAACTATTGGGCTACGCGGTGACATGGCGAGAATTAAGCCACTTCGACGAGGAGGGGGCAGGCGAGCAGAGGAGATCGGGAGCCGTCACCTCCCCGGGGTGGAGCAGCGGAGAGGTGGTAGTCGGGGGACTGCGCTCGTTCGCACGGTACGCCGTCATCGTTCGTGCGTACAATCTGGCCGGAGCCGGCCCCCCATCTCCAGCGGTGTACGCAACCACGGCCGATGGAGGTAGGTGAACGTCGACGTTAATTTTTTTTTATTTAAAGAGGTAGTTTTTGCATATCATTCAAATCCTATTTAACTAATAAGACTCAAAGAGTGGTCATACATGGTCATGAATCTGAAACTTACAATTGCATCGGGCATTCCTTAGGGCTCAATAATTGGCCCATTACTTTTCAATATTTTTATAAACGATGTTGATGAGTGCTTTGAAAATCCACTGCGCCACCGAGCTACTCTCATATTACCATCAATTAATAATCTTATAGTTGCTAAGTGTTTAAAAGTTTACCAAATAAAATATCGCCTACATAATAATAAAGACTATGACGAATATACTATCCAATCCATCAATGATACAACTACAATATGTCTATATAAATCTAACAATTTAAATGGCAATCGACCAACAGCTCACACATCATACGTATATATTATATTATTATTATATTGATATCGTTTCTATTAATTTACATAAATTAGTAGAAACGATATCTATATAATAAAAAAAATATACATATATTCATCAAAAGAACGTGATTTTGAAAGCTATTCAATCTTTTTTTAATATGATATATTTTGTATCGTCTGCATAATGATGATATTTTTATTGTACTATTTTTGGATGCAAAATACATAGTGAGTCTGAACCGAACCAGCGTTTCATTTACAGTTGATTCTTTATATTGACCATGGATTTTGATTTGATATATGTCCAAAAATATCGTCACGATTGTTTAATTTTTTCTTCCGCATAATTGACTCTTCGTCGCGCATCTATCAGTACACCACCCGCAACGATGCTTCACAATTGATATTGATTTCACAATTAGCTATTTTTAAAACGTTTCTTATGAAATCAATTAATGTTCATTGTGAAACTTTTTGTTAATTCAAATAAACTAAAAAAAATGTCTGTATATACACCGCTCCGATCTCATGCTCTCGTCCACTCTGAAGCGTGATGTTCGATCACGGTTCATCGGCACATCACCAGTCCTCTTAATATTGAAAATGATCGTGCAGCACCCGAGGTCGCGCCCACGTCGGTATTCTGCGAGGGCGTGTCGGCACGAGCGGTGCGCGTGCGCTGGGCGCAGCCGCCGCCCGCCATCGCGCACGCGCTACGAGGCTACGAGCTGCAGTACGCCGCCCTACATTTCCCGGCCGGTCGGAACTCG